GGTAACCTACTTTCTTTTTCACTTTTTGTGGGAGGGTACGGCTACACGTAAGCTATCTGAATAGCTTCGTTAACATGGAACTTCATCACAGTACAGAATAACCTTAGCTTTAAATGTTAATCGTCAAGGGTCCCAAAGGTGTCCGCCTAATAGAGGTTTCCCTGTATACGTGACCAGCGAACTTTTTCTTTCATTACGTGAAAAGCTTAAAATTTCTCTGAAACCTTGCACACAAGAGGAGAGATTCGAAGTTTTTCCTTTAATTTTCGTGACGCATGAATTGTTCTTTCATCATGCATGAATTAATCAAGACTCCCCTCCCCTTTAAACATTAAACATTTAAACCCGTGAAAAAAAAAAATGCCCACCAAATTTCAGCAGTATGAAAATGAACTCTCATCACTAGATGTTGCTTGCAACCAGAAAAAGGATTGTATTTCGATTGCGAAGCAGTCATGCATGGTCGGTCGAAACAAATATCTTTGGATTGATGTGGTCAATTTTATACGGTCATTTCTCCGACAAATTGAGCTGCAATTACTTGAACTTTACAATACGTGCTGGAGAGATAACAATGTTTGTTGTCATTGGGATGAAACTGAAATCTTGCATATCCGGCGTTTCGAAGAAAAAATTGCGTGATTCTACGGTGACCTTTTGTGCGACTTTAGTAACATGATTATGCCCCAAAAGAGAAAGTGTTCAACACTCATCATCTCATATTCTCAGTCGAATCATGGACAATGGCCGATCTCGATCGCTTCTTCACGATAGAAAAAGCTCTAAATCTCGAGGTTATTCGACTTTCGATCCTGGAGGATCAATTGACAGAGGAATTCTAGCCAGCGAAGATCTCGAGAGAAGTTCTAAGAGGAACAATCCAAGGGCTACAACTATTGAAGAAGAAAGGGAAAGTCTTTCAATTTCGTGGGAAAACATCGATGTATTTGTTGAGCAACCCGGGCCATCTTTCTTGAAACGTTTGTGTTTTGGAACAGGAGACAACGAGAGACCGACTACTAAACAAATTCTTTTTAATGGTGAGTGATTTTTTTAGCCGGTTATTAGCTTATGCCCTCATATCAATCGTTCCAAAGAAGATTGAACAAATGTTATTCAAATGTCAAATTTAATTTACCTAAGAGCGATTTTTCCACTTGCGCACGCTTCATCTTTATTGAAACTGAGATAAATTGAGCTTGCTTTTCAAAATGTGCCATATAATGAAGAATTTGTATTTTTTTGCTTAGCTCTAGAGAAAAGTTATAAACGTGACTTGAGCACATAAGCTTTGTTTGGCTTAATCACATGGCCCCGATTGTTCGAAGGGGAAATAACGCTATCCACTCTATCTCTATCCAGTGTATAGTGCAGTACATTTCGTTAGCGTTATCCGTTGGATAGTGTTATCTCCCAACAATTGGGACTTGACAGATAAGCGTTAAGCGCTAGTTTGTCTGCGTAAAACTTATCCCAATAAAACTTTAACGAGCGACAAATTGATCCTCTCCGGAAAACTAATTTAAATTTATTTCACACAAAGAATTTTGAAAAATGAAAGCTTCAATGAGGAACTGACCTATGCCTCTTAGATGTTTGATTGATTACGAAATAAGCTGTGAAAACACATGCTATACTGTGGTAGTACAGTTTTGATGTGCGGGAAGGAGACTAAAAACAAGTAAATCTTTTTCATAGGAAATTGTTTCGTACATGCATAGCGCCAAATTTTAAGGAATAGCAATAGATTCAATCGTATTTTTTGAGTGAAAGGCTCACAAGAGACTGAAGGCTCCGTGAAAAAGTTCTTTTTCGAACGTGAGTCTCATTAGAAGATCGCTCTTATTATTTTTAAATGTGTTTCAGGCGCAACTGAGATGTATGCCCCTTGCGGATTTGAATTGTTTTTGAGTAGTCTAGTAATTCTTAGAAATATTGGGTTCCTTAGGAAGTTGACACTTTCCGGGTATTATTGCGGAAATCACGTAATTTTGCGGATTAATATTTTTAAGTCAAGGCCAGCGACGAAAGTGAAAAAAGATATTTCACTTATCTGAAGTTTCTTTTTTTCTGCCGATTTTTGGTAACCGACTTTTGATTGTTCTACTTTGCAGTGAGCGGCAATGTCGAAGCTGGTACTTTGTTAGCTGTTATGGGATCAAGGTAATAAAAAAGGTTATTGACTTGGTAATTAATGTAGATCCATAGTTTTAAAACGTGACCAGTGTGACCAGATCAGCATGTGAACACCTCATTGGATCACAGTTAGTTGTCATGGAGTTGAGGGATAACAGGCGTGATCAGTATGTGAACACCTCATTGGATCACAGTTAGTTGTCATGGTATTGAGGGCCCAATGACCTCTGGGTAGTCTATTGCGCAATTTTTCCATTTTGTGGCGGAAACAAAAAAAAAAAAAAGACGAAAAAAACAAAGGCATTTTATGACTGGGCTACCACAGGTATCCCAGTAATTAACGGTGGCGACAAGTAGGCGCACTATGTATATTTCATATTCGCTATCAAGCAAATTTTGCCGGACTTCGAGTTTGTCTCAAGATGGAACAACACAAATACACAAGGAAATTTTTACAGTAACTTTATAACCATCCTTTGGTCTTTAAAGAGCTTGAAGCTCAGTAGATTTGGTCATATCGGTCATTGTTAAAACTGTCTTTGTTTTGATGCTACTTTTCGACATAGGAAAAGTATGTCGGACAAAAATATTCACCAAAAAATAGATATTTCTTTGCCAGCTTCAATAACGACAGAGGGTTAAGTTTAGATGATAAAACAAAGGATTATGTTCACAGAAAAACCGTAGGTCTAGTACAGTCGTTACATGAGGTCACACAACCCGGGTAATATTCACGGTGAAAATTTGCATATTTGAGCGGTCGAACGAAAAAGTCATTTCTCGAAAACTAAAATATATTTTCACAAAAAAACTACGCCACAATTATTAGAACATATTGGGCTACAAAATATGAAAGTAGGAGAGAAAAAGAATTTTGGGCGACTTGCCACAATATTTCAAATTTGTTCGATGGATGCTGACATCCTCTCTTAAGCGGGGAGCATGTGACAGTAGTGAAACTGATGACCCTGAGTCCTTCTGTAAGAAGAAGCTTAAAATATAAAAATGAATGATGATCTATACTTGAAATATTACATACTGCAAAATGATATCATAAAAATAACTATAGGTTAGTAATCGGAATCGTGCCTAAAGTGTTAGTTTCTTTCTGTCTTTCTAAAGGGGTATTTATCAATCGCTTTTTGAAACTTTTTGTGTCCTTAGAGATTTTGAGCTCTTAATTTAGGCTATACCAGCTAGTGTTTAATCGATCTATAACCGGGAATGATCGCCTCCCTTCAGTAGAATTGTTGTAGCGGCAGCGTAGGTTTAATTTGCCAAAGCGTGTACTTCTGGAGAGAAAATCAGAATTTTATTGAAGCATATACTTCAGGTGTTCAAGTGTTTTTCCAAGCGTTCTCTTGAGAGTTATTGAGCATCTGTTGATGTGTGCGTCTGATATAGACGAGAAGCCAGTTTGACGTGCCGGGAACAAAAGCAGTGAGCGTGAGCGTGAGCGTGGTCCCACGCCCAAGATGATCCTTGCAGCTCTTTTTGCTGTAGTCTAAAAAATGATGTTTAGGTTTTGATTAGATGTTGATGTCCAAATGGCCATAAAGGAGAGCTGTTTTGATGATAGTATTGCAGTACATTTTCTTATGGTTTCTCTCATGGACTGATATGTTTCAACAGACCAATTCTATTTATCACCTTGTTAGCTAGAGCATTACAGTGACTTTCGAAAGTTTAGTCATCATCAATCTCTACCCCGTGGAATTTGTGTGATCTAACTCTTTATATGATCTTTCAATCTGTGAGTCGCTCAAGGCAATGGTCAAATCATTATCTTGATGTTGGTCTTGAATCATGCGTTTTCTGAATCGCTTACCGATGATAAGCATAGATTTTGTTTCCTTTTTATAATCACCATTTTGTTCATAATCGCTCAACGCTGAATGTTATCTAAGTCCCCTTGAATGTCAGTGGCAATGCAATCACAAGTCATATCATGGAGAAAATCAAAACAACGAAAAGCATCAGGTGTTCTATAAATTTTCCTTGTCAGCCATTTTTTTTTTGGCATTCGTATGGACCTCAACCTTCAGGGGATTTGCATTTTTTTGGAAAAACGCCCTAAAAAAAAAAAAAAATCAGTCACTGAATCCCCTCCCTACCCTTCCCTCCTTCCCACCTTCCCCCTTACCCTTAAGAACAAATCGTGGTCAGCGGCTAATATGTCAAAACCTTCCGATAGTCAAAGTTATTACACGTTTCTTTTCCAAATATAGCGGAGCTGGGAAGTCCACCTTGATGAATGTATTAGCTCATCGTAACATCGGCCAGATGGAAGTGAGGGGGACTGTGGAAGTCAACGACCGCCCAATTGGAGCCGAAATCAACACCAAGTCTGCTTACATTCAACAAGAGGATATCTTCATTGGATCTCTGACTGTCCGAGAACATTTGACGTTTCAGGTAGATTGCTTATGTTATTTGTTTACGAGCAGGCTTGCCTGAATAACAGACTGATTGCCTGACTAATAAAGGGCGGGTAAGTTTCTAATGAAACAGTGGCGCAGCATTAATGAGGGATATTACAGGGTGATTTAGTTTTATCAGCTTAGTCGATAATGTAACTTCTAAAGCTGACGTTCTGAACATTAGCCCCTCTACAGAGCGACTGACTGAATTTTTGACCGAATGACTGAGCGGCTCACTCTGATTTTGGCAACTGACATATTGCCTAACGAACTGACTGAGTGAATGACTTCGGACGAACGAGAAAAAAAAAAAAAACGGACGCATGGGACAAAACACTATGCAATACTGGCCAGCTTTTATTCAGAGATTTCTTTTTATGCCATCCCTCCACGCTTTTAAAAACAGATTATAACGAACTAAGTAAATAAAAAAAAAACAATTTAAACGAGGATTGTGGTGAAGAACTTGCAGCATTTCAAGTAATTTGTTCTCATCGATCTTTTCAGGCCTTTTTGCGCATGGAAAAGTACATTCCTAAAGAGCAGCGGATTGAACGTGTCGAGGAAGTGATACTTCAGGTATGGCGCATCTGAAATGAGTAAGAATGAAGCGCGTTTTAAAATAATTGTTGAATTCGGATTGAATTTAAAATCTGTTTCTTCAAAGCTTGGGCTATCAAAGTGCGCTGATACTTACATAGGAATTCCGGGACGGCTACGAGGGATCTCGGGAGGAGAAAAGAAAAAGACTGTCATTCGCCTCGGAGGTAGGTACTCTGGCCGAAGTTCCCATACTGTCGGAAATTACAGCTGCTTTTTAAAGTATAAATAAGTGTGTTCTCTCTCTCTTTGTACCTGTTATGCAAGTAAATCACAGGTACAGTAAAGGTAATTCCACTCCTTCCTTCCCCTCTTGCATATCACCAATACCCATATATACTCTTGGATAAATTGAGCCCTTGTGGGCGGAAAGTGGCTCTCCTCAATACAACATCATAACAATTCGGCCAGAGCTAAAAGCCGAAACCAATCCCGATTCCCAACACGAACCCAAAAGGTGTGAAACATCCCCTTTGCAAGCTGAAAAGTAAAAAAAAACTCACTTTTTCAACAGATTATAACAGACCCTCCATTGCTGTTTGCTGATGAACCCACCTCAGGGCTTGATTCATTCCTGGCCCAGAGTCTGATAACAGCTTTGCAGCAGCTTGCAGCTCAGGGAAGGACAATTATCTGCACAATTCATCAACCATCCTCTGAAGTTTACGCCATGTTTGACAGGTAGTCAATGACCTTTTTGACGTATTGATACCACTTGCACAAAAGCACCATCTGAATACCTATAAAAACTGATATGGGTTGAAATCATGTGTTGGTAGAATGGACACCATAACCACATCATGAATGACAAAAAAGAGACGAAAGAGTTGAAGAAATCGCGAACCTTTTTTTCTCCGCCGAATAATTTTTCTCCACCAGATAACAAGCACTTTTTAGCCCGCAGAGAAAGAATGTTACGTAGCCGCAACTATAATTAAATTTTTCCTCATTTCAGGACTGAACGTTATGTGAGAACGTTTATCAATATGTACTTATTTGGACTTTATTATCACAACAGTTCCTGTCAGGTTTTCCTTTTTTGTAAACCTTGTGCGTTTGTTGCAGGTAGTGCTTTTGTATCATGAAGTAAGACAATGTCAGCAGCCAAGTTAGAGGCCATAAATATCTGTTCTTACGATGATTAATCAAGAAAGTTCTTTTTCTTTTTTTTTTTTTATTAGTATCTTGCTGTTGGCAGAAGGAAGAACAGCTTACATGGGCTCAAGAGCTGACGTGATCCAGTATTTTGAAGGGTAAGTTTTCCTTAAAAATAAAGAAATGTCACTGAAAAGATGCATTTTCATCATAGATTTCTTTGTTACCGCTGCACTGAATTTCATGATGATCGAGAGGCAATTACATGAAGGTTTTTCTTTCTTGAGCAGTGCTGATGGACAGTCTTGATCAGCCCCTTGTTCAAAGACTAACCTTACTGATTTTTGTACCGATGAGGACACTCCTTCGGGCTAAAACTTTTCAAGTTGGTTGGTGTTCATGAATACTAACTCGTCATTATCGCGAAAAGAACTTCTATTTCTGATTCATATGATACTGCTTGGTTTAAACGCGTCATGTGACCGAATATGCACACTATGAACGCGCCAAATTTAGGATCATTGACAATCAGGTATTAAGCTCGACATATCTATTGGTCATCACGTATAGAAATCGAGAGCGAATAATCTAATTGCTTTAATATAAATCTACTTGTCTTTTAAAACTTAGCTACAAGCCAGAGGTTCCTGTTTTTGTGTGTTTACAATCACACAATATTTAATTTGTGATAATTGCAATTAGGATTAATTACTATTGTTCAGGCACGTTTATCAGCCGTTGTCTTCTGGTGTATATCATGTTGTTCATGGGATACCCTTAAAAAACCCCGAAGGTGCCACCAGTGCCTTGGTTGGGGGTACACGTTCCCCGTTTCTTTTTCCCAGCTGCTGGTTTTCAGGGGTTTTCGTGTCCAGTTTTGGTGCATTTAGTTTCCTTCAATCGTATTAAACATTTTTAAGCACGTTGGTGTTGAATAAGCGGCACGGCTGCTTGGCTGGCCAACGCGCCCAGATGTCAACACTTTGTGCGCCCGTTTGAATTGTGGATGCAAATTGTTTGGTTACTCATTTTGCTTACTATTTACTACGGAATAGATAGCGAGTGGATTAGCCAATCAGATTGCAGCATTTGCAAGTAAACGCGAGTAGATTTATACTAATCAGCTTTACAACTATCAGGTTCATATCTTTTTTTGTTATCACCAACATAACGGTGTTGTTTTATTTGTACAGTTTGGGTTATCCTTGTCCAATCAATTTTAATCCTGCTGATCACTTCATTCACACGCTCGCCATCGTGCCTGGTGATGAGGAAAACTGTCTCACCAGGGTCAAGGTTAGAGAACATAGTCTTTTCCTTTACTTCTAATAGTTAGATATGACGAATTTAGAGTGAAGGTTTGAATTTGTGCAAAAACTCAAAATGGTGCACCCGCCACCTTGCGACGTCTTTTGGCGAGAACAAAGGCTAGTATACTTATAATCTCATTTATGGATCACTTAAACATCTCACTGCCTCCCAGATTCATTAGTAATTCTCCTTACTGTCTGCCATACAATTCTTATGATATTAATTTAGAGAATTTGGTATTGGATCAACTAATAATCCCCTAATTGATATTTTTCTTTATTCTCATCACTTGTTCGCTTTATGATGTGATGATACTGTAAGGAGAAATTCTGTCTTGGTCACTCGTAAGAGTTAAAGGGTTAAAAGCATCCACAAATTACAATTCTGCATTGACATAGGAAAGGGTTAGGGGACTCAATCATTTGTTAGTCTTACACAATTCTTTTTGTTGCATTTTTTTCTTTGTTTTTCTTTTTGTTGTTTTTCAACAAAAAGAACGTTCCTTTTTCATTCACAAAATATCTCCTATTGAACATTTATTACAATACATTCGTGTTTACCAATTTTGAATGTTGTTCAGGTAATCTGCGATGCGTACAGGGAAAATAACACTGACTCAATTTCTTCAGAATCCTTGGGAAAACAAGTAAGTGCAACAAAATAGAAAATTGACAATCAATTAGTTAAATAATAAATAACATCTACTGATAAAAGAAGAGACTCGTTATTACTTTTCAGTCGGCACACGAACCTTTCATCCAGATTATTTCGTGACCCTTACAGCCACATTCACTACCGTAAAAAAATACAGTGTTTAAAGACCAAAAACATCACCACAAAATACAGGAGAGTATTGTTTCGGTAATGTATGTATTGCAATGCTCTACCAGGCCAAATATGGCCAAATCAATTTTCCCAGTCTTCTTACATGACCGGCGTTGCTTCATTTGTGACTTGAAATGGCATGTTTTTTTTTTTAGGATTCTTTCAAAGATGAAGTTTACACACGTTCACCGTAAGATTTCTCTCTACGTTTAACTATCTAATATTCACTGGCACGATTATAGCTTTTAGACCCATTATCTTTCCTCATACTGATGTTACCGGTGTGCACGACTCGTGTCTGCATCAGTGTAGCACAAGTTGAGCAGCGCAAAGGAGTGGGGGGGAAAGGAGAGGAAGAGGTGGGAGGGGGTATCCCTGGTTGCTCGCTGGCTCCCTTTTAATTATCAAAGAGTTTAGTAAGTACTCATAATGACAATATGACATGTATAGAAAACATCTTTTGGTTTTAGATTTCAAACTACAATTTTTCTCTTTCCTCCCCCCCACTTTGTAGTCTGACGTGGAGATTTGTCGCGTACTTTTGTTTTTTGTTTTGACGGAGTCGACATAGTTGTTTTTGAGCTCTCGTTCATGCAGATTTGTTACCCCATTTTTTGGAATTTTAAGAAGTTCCAGAGTATTTATTTCAGCCAAATGTTGTGGTTCATTTAACAAGTTTAATACATATTCTCTACGGAGTTTCTATTTTCTACTAGCCTCTATTTTCGTGATGGGTTTTTACAACCTTTTTAAATTAAAAAAACTTACGCCCTTGTGACTTCTTATAAATCAGCTAAAGCATCTTTGTACATTAAATTACGAATTCTGTCAGAGCCCTCTTTCACATACACTCGTGATATCGTAGGCAGCCGTTGTTTGAAAAGCTTTCTTTCGTGACGAGAACAACGAACGGTTAAAAACTAGAGGTGACGTGACACAAATTTTCGTCTAATCTGCTGTAAAATGAATTCCACGCGCTGAATTCAGTATTTTTTGGGGCTTACACGTGCACACTGTTAGAAAATCATCCCTTGAGTCTTAGGTCATATTTTGCTTTATTTCCCATATAGGTACAAAGCATCTTGGTGTCAGCAATTTCGCTCAGTATTTTGGAGATCCTGGTTAACCAATAATAGAGATGTCATGATTTTTAGAATCAGACTTTACCAAAGTATAGTAAGTAACGTTGACTGACGACTAACTTATGGTTGGGTGCATTGAAAGCAATTCCGAGAGATAAGGTCTGAAAACAGATTTAAGGCTCTGTATGTTCCTATATGCAATTGCTTTAATTGCAGTTTACGTGCATATTAAGTGCCCCTTGTACATTCAAGAGCCATGATTTAATATTCATAAAGTAATTCGAGAAAAAAAGAGAGTGACAAGTTTAAAAAAAAAATCTGCGAAGTTGTCTTATTTTATTTTGAAAATGGCGTTTAAGTTGTCTTGTAACTCATCATCCTGCATGCTTGATTGCACGAGCTGATGATCCTGAAGTTTACCAGGGTTATGGTGCCATTTTTGAGACCATTTTTATAATAAAACAGTAGTTTAAGCATCAAAATGGCAGCGTAATACGTTTGTTCAAGAATATAAAAGTTTAGAGCAGTTTTATTGACATCGGAAGGTAGAAATAAAATGACTACCGTGCCGTGCAAATTTTTTTTCGTTAACATTTATGACTAAATAGATTAATGGAAAGTTTTATTAATAATTTAGCTCAAAATGATAGGCTTGTTCTATTAATCATTGCACATGTGCAGTCTCAGGAAAGATTACAAACATTTGACAAGGATACTGTTTTTCGATTTAGTTTCACTGAGAACAATCTTTTCTATTAAAATCAAAGCTTGATGACTAAGTAAATTTATATTGTGAAATGATCTGCTTTATTATAATTTCTTTCTGTTTTCTGTGTGTATCTTTTCCCTTTTTTTCTCTTTGTTTAGTTCGTAGGTCTTTTAGCAGGGATTATCTACTTCCGGACCAAGATTAATCAATCTGGTATCATCAACATCGCTGGAGCGATTTTCTTTCTGATAACTTCCACGACGTTTAATAACATGGGATCAGTTATCTTTGTGAGTATCCGGGCCTTCATCATATTAGGTTAAAGAAACTACTATCACGGTTGTACATCTGGGCAATCTCATCTCGATTTCAAGATAGCCACTCAGAAACAGCGAGCATCTCCATGTTATTTTACTGCCTACACTAGCTTGTTATATATATCTCTCTAATCTTTTCAGGAAAGCTAATCGTTACAAAAGCAATTGGCTTTTATATACAATTGGTTCCTTGTTTCTTTTCAGACGTTCCCGCAAGAGCTTTCTGTGTTCTTACGGGAACACCATAACGGCATGTACCGTTCGGATGTTTACTTCTTGTGCAAGACCACTGCTGAGGTAAGGATGAATAAGGACTCAAAAGGTAAAAGAGATAAAGACTACATTCGCGATTTTTGATTGGATGAAACACTTTCCTCACGTCTGAGAAAGTGTTTCCGTGATTGTGACTGGATGAAGAAATGTCCTTATGTTTTTTTTTACATGCGATGGGTTCCATCCAAAATTCTTTGTAAGTATTAAAAAAGAAAAAATATTCAGTAACAGCCCCTGCTGAAACGATAAAAAAAGTATTTTTCCTTTGTCGCCAAAGGAAAAAGACTTTTGCTAAACGTTACAATGCATTAAGACTTACACTTATGGCTGTTTCACTTTTTTTATTGTCGTTTTGTCCTGTGGAGAATACCTTTGCCATCACGACAACAGACAAAAACAAGATCAAATCAAGAAACTAACCGTTCAGTTTGTAATCATCTTGTACTCACTAACTTTTATTTATCTTTAGGCGCCTTTATTTTTGCTTAATCCTCTCTTCTTGATGGCCATCGCGTACTGGATGATAGGTGAGTGAACTTAGGACACGAATGAAAATTTATGTAGGTGAATAAGACAAACGTCCACCAAACATTTTTCCAAGTTTCTCTTGTCTCTCGGCCAAATGATTTAATAACATGACCTACTGTAGCATCACTTTTTATGGTAACTGTTCTTCATTTGGTTTTTATTTTGTTTTTTTTTTCTCAGGTTTGCGTCAACAAATACTTAGGTTTCTCTACGCGTACGGAATCCTGGCTTTGATCAGTATGGTGGCTGTATCTTATGGTTTGTGGTCACTCGTTTCCTTGCGTGTACGAAAGGACAAGTTTTGTTTACATGTCCTTCTCTAGAGCATCAGTGAAACTCGAAGATTGACATCCAAGGATACCAGAATCATTAATCGCATAGCTCGTTTCAGGTTTAAGGTTGCTTTCTCGAATACTAGTGTGTTTGAAAAGCCCTTGATACAAGCACAGTTCTTTCCAAACAGTACGACGAGCGGATATTTCGTCCACGAATCCCAATATGGACAGAGGATTATTATCTGTTTCATCAGCTACACTGTTAGCCAACTTTATAATTTTTTGTGCTCTAGGTTACATGATTTCCACACTTTCCCCGACAGTAGCGACGGCCTCGTCTATCAGTGCACCCTTACTTCTTCCGCTGTTGTTACTAGGAGGCTTCTACGTAAAAAACACGTAAGTGGCGATGGTAATTGAAACCTAACTCAGTGCAGAATAAATACTTATTGAAGAACCTACCGTTTTGAAATAGTTAAATCCAAAACAGGAAGAGTTTACCCTGCCTAATTATGGCTCAGGCATGGAACTCCTATTGACCATTGATTTTAAAACTTTCGTAGTTCCATTCAAGTTCGCTTGCAGTTAATTCCACATTAAGTTTGAAAATCTTCATGGAAGACACGGTTACCTAATGTAAAAGTCTCTGAGTTTATTTCCTAGGCGATACTTTTTACTCTCACGGCCATTTTCTCCATCCAGGAGTACGAGATACCGGCTAAAGGAATCTTTCGAAATGGTTGGAATTTGAAAGAGTTGGGATGCGGGGAGGGGGATTTACCTGCCATGGTCCACATCCATTCAGGGGTCGTAGCAAACCTTCTAATCGCTTCATACTATGGGAACCAGAATAAGCCCGGGACTGTAGGTCCACTTGGCTTTTGCCAAAGGCCACTCTGTGTTAAGGTGATACACCTTCTTCTGTGTTAAGGTTATACATCTTTTTATGGTATGTCGGTTATAACTAGAAGACAAAGATTCAGTTGCTTTTTTCTCGTTTTCTTGCTATTTTGACCTGGAGATATTTTCTCCTTTATAGGACGGTGCCAGTATGGCTTTCTTGGTTGCATTACCTTTCATGGTTCAGCTATGGATTTGAAGCTATGCTTGTCAACCAATGGAATGGTTATGGTGATAAAAGTAAGTTTTTATTCTAGTGTAACTCTGAGTATATGCGAATAATCAATGGCAATGAAACTTGGCAATTTTCGACTAACAGTTTTTGTGAACGGCCACAAAAGCTGGATCTTATCCCTGTGTCTGAACCATGGAGCGGTTTTTATAAGATTGGCCTCAGATCAACCGAGGATCTTGAATTGTTGTCGCTTACACGATTTTGATTCCTACTTTTACAGTTTGTTCTGGGAAAAATAATACAGATTGCATTGGTGGAGAACAAGTTCTTCATGACCTCGGCTTAAAGAAGGTTGGTAAAACATCCACTAATTATTTCATTGCAGTCATAGAACAAGTTGAATAATGGCGACCTTTTCAGTGTAGCTTTGACTCTGCATATCAAGTCTGCTTCAAAACCTTCCTTTAAAACGCCACTTTTCTTCAAAAGAAAATCTCCATTATTCGAGATTTTCTCCTCCATTAACCCAAGTTTTCCATGAATTTTTTTCTTCAATTTATTTGAACTTAACTAGGAACACTTTCTCGAGTAGATATCTGTTTACAAAATGGTGGTTGTGTAGTTTCAGTCAAGAGAAAAAAAATATGTTTTTTTTCCTCAGAAAAGGATTTCCACAACGAGTGAAAACACTATGTCAGTCCTTCGAATAAAAAGTCCATATCGCACTCCTGGCTATAGCACTTAAGAACAGGTTATATCTTCCTGGAATTTAGAAAAGAGGGAGCACGGAATATCGTGAAAGCGAAATCAAATCTCTCTATGGAAATCGTCTGTCAAATTTTTTGGAATGTTTTAATCGTTGTTTACCTTTTTCCACAGGATAACGAGGTTATAGACATCTACGCATTATTGGCACTCACCATAGGATTCCGTTTCATTGCGTATCTATTTCTCTTGAAAAAAGCTTACAAGAAACCCTAATCAACAAAATCAACAGACGTGAAGGCGTGAATGTTCAACAGAAAGTCACGTCTTCTTTTATACACCATAGTAAACCACGTCCTTTCAATGAAAATAAAATGTAAAGTAAAGCAAAACAGCTACGTTTATGAATAAATAAATTGATGAATTTATCTGTAATTCAATTGAAAAAAAAATAATGAATAAAAAATAACCACAGTGTTTGAGTTGATTTATTAAGCGATGAGCTCCGATTTCGCATATACTTAATCGAAAGTTCTCATGGTTATTACAGGACGCCATACTTCCCAACTACTTCAGAGTTTTGAGGATAATTATGCTACAGAAGCCAACTCTCAAATCCACAATTAAACGCAGATAAAAATGTACAAAATTCTAAAAGACAGAAATTATGAATAGCAGCAACTACAAGATCTGAACATGATCGGTCAAAAAAAAATTGTATTGAAATCTTTTTCGTTTACTGAATACGACTTGAACTCTTTTACCGCCATCGGCTGTCTGCACATGTATGATTACATGTAATTATTGAAGACTTTCTTGATTGACTGTGAAGCAAAGGACTTCCTTCCTCTACTAAGTTCTTTTGTAAGAATTCCTCAAAAGAAACAGGAACGATATCAAGCGAAACCCGACTGTTATCGCCACAAGGGCATAGATATCAATAAGGAGATTTTCCTGTAAAAAGAAAGTAAACAAAGAAAAAAAAGAATCTCTTTGTTAGTGATCTCTCGCAAATTTACCTCAAGCCCTAAACTTTTACTTTTTCTTGCGGCTTGTCAACTTGCGATTGCGTTCAGCACCTTCGCAACGAAATATTACCGAGACACTGTCCATTGTAGTATAACATCAAGGGCAATTGTGATTTTTTTTAGGTAAATAGGCCACATTTGGTAACATCACTTGGGTTTCTGAAAGTTCCTAAGCAGTTATTTTGCTTGATTCGTCTTGTGACTTCATAATACCCACCTCCTTCAATCCACGCTGTTCAATAGCTATCGATCCATTGTAAACGCAACTTGTGTAGGTCTCATTGTTAGGAATTATATTACAAGCTGGGAGGAACAAAACAGGTATAAAGACAAAAAAACAAAAAACATTATCTCTTAATTTAGGACACACACACACACACAAAAAAAAGATCCTAAAAAACTCACCAAGGTGCTCTCGAGTTTCCGATGAATTAATTTGTAACATCTCAAATAATTTTCACTCAGATTATGTGTTGTGTTTTTTTTTGGTTTCGGAGTAGGAACTTCCGCAGTAAGTAAGAGCTCACGTAATACTTCGATGGGAAAAAGAGTGCACCTTTCTTTTAGAGAAAAAGAATGTTCCAGAAACAATATTATTCCCCTCTCCGCCATTGAAATGCATGTGTGTAATTACGACGAGTCACTTAAATGAAACGCAGAAGCTGTTTTGTAAAATGCGAGTTTTGCTCTCCGTCTTGAGAATTGAATTCAAAATGACGAAGTGCGAAGTCGAACCCTTGGCACATTTGAAGACAATTTTGGAAGGCTGAGATACCCGTTTGGATCTCAAAACGCGGTAAATAGTGCATTTTCATATATACTTTTTAGGTTAAAAGATGAAGTGTGCCGATGACTTGAACTTATATTTAACGGCGCCTGACAACTCTGAGTTCTATTGAGGTAGAAACTCGACAAATTTACCCTAACAAATCCTGCTCTCTGATCATAAATGATTTGGTTATTTCACGTTCAAGAGAATGTCAAGGAAACGAATTTTGTTTAAAACGTAGGCGAAGAACTATTATTTTGCATATGAATTATTTTAACATCGCTACGTTCTCTTGTGCGTCGCCGTAATCAGGGTTTGCATCCAATTACGAAAAGTTACTGTTGCTGCCGATGATGAATTTGACCTTACTGGCTCTATCGCTTCGTCAGCTATTTCAGTTTCAAATTCAACTTACGGATAGGACCATAATTGTCCCACTGATTAACAACCAAAGCTTCGAATCCATAATTGAACCAGGACAGATATCTCAGCCAAGACAGCCACTCTGGAATTGTTCTGAAACATAAAACAAATGCAAAGATACATAAATAAATAAATATATAAATAAACAAACTAATAAAGGGTTGAATAAATGAACTAACTGACTAATAAACGAAAAATTTAAAATCAAAGTTTCTAAGTTTTTAAAAGAAACCCAATGCACTGCTATACGCGATAGTGTTTATTCTATTCAAACGCACAAACACGCTGTACTTCTAGTGTAAGGTTTGATTAATAGTTAATAATAAAGACTGAGTGGAGTCCAATTCTATCTGTAATCATGAGTGATTATCAAAATCAGACAAACGCAAAGTAGGAGTCCGATTTGTTTATCACGAGTAAGTTTACAGGGAGAATCGGACATCACAAAGTCCGGTTACCAATTTATCAAAACTATAACAACACCTGAGAAAGAAACTAGACATTGGTTATAAGTTTCATAATAAGAAAAAAACAATTGTTAACATAGCGAAATGTGCAACAACGGCGCACGCACATGACGCGTTCTGTTCGCTCAGACAGGCATGACGTGTCAACCTATTACACTGTCCAATTACAAGCATGACGCTTACAGTGTCCTATGAGTGCTTACGTAGGGCTGGTGATAAACAATTACGTTCGAGAATTTGTAATAGTTTTGATTAATTTTAAAGCTAGTAGGTCGCTCATTTTTTATGTTAAAGGTCTCTGTGCCAACCTCCCAAAGGAAACCAAAAAACGCTTTTTCAACCCTCATTAGAACCACAATAGCAAATGAGTTTAGAGATTATAAGAGATCATGATCTCTTGTCTAAGCAAACAACGATCATGCATTTACTGACCGGTTTTCAATGTAGAAGCCACCAAGTACTAATAGAGGAAGGGTCAACGGACCACTTAGCGCCGTGGAAACTGACGTCGTTGGTGAAATTGTAGATATAATGTACGCTGAAATAAAACAGAGAATTACAGAAAAGTGGATTTGCTTTGAGTTGAACATCACTCAAAAACCCTTTTCTTAAATACGTAAAGAGTTTTTTCAACTAATTCAACGCAAAGTGCACATGGTAATGATTTTAAAAATATCTGTTGGTTGTTGAACTCGATCGAGCGAAGTCTTAGTTAGACTGTACTCATTAAAGGCCATGCTATAAACACTATCCTACTTTAAACTAGTGATTCCGTGTTCAAAAATGTGACGTTGATATCATTGCCCCTAACGGACACCATGTGGGTTTTTTTTAATAAATAATAGTAATAATAATAACAACAACAATGATAATAATAATGATAATAACGTTACGAATCTAGAAAAGTTGTTCATTGTATTTGATACAACTGATATGAAATCGTCTGTGAACAAACCAAAAGAGACAGCAGCCATACTGACTAAGGCAAGTATTCCATAAGCGGCCAGAAAACGGAGCACATCTGGTCTCAAACCTTAAAAATACATATCATATGAAGAGGACGAAAAATTAGCAATACATCAAAATTCAAAGACCTAGTTTTTCTTTTTGTGTTGAGTAAGCTGAGATGAACCGCTGTTGATGCTAGCACTTAAGACATAACCTTAACTAAAAAGACACAATCTATGAGAAAAACATTCGCAAGGCTCACCAACCATCCAGTAGCCCACAGTAATCATGACCAGCGGACCAAGAAAGAACTGTGGAGACTATAAATACGAGAAAAGTCTTATCAAAACGCATGACGTTACCGTTACCAATTTTTTTTTTTCTCCCCATATGAAATAAGTAGATTCTTTGTTGCCATGGGTTTGTACATGCAGTGATAAATCACAGAAGACATCAAAATATGGTGAGAACACCAGTGCCGCATTTGGCTGCGCCTCCTGTGCCACGTTTTTTTTCTTAGTACTTTTTGACGTCATCTGAGATCGGTTACTGAACAGAAGCACGGCAAAATGGAATCGTTTTTGTTAAAAAAGAAATCTCGAGCTCATAATCAAATAGCCAAATCCTTTAAACGGAAGTTCATCCAAGAACCCCCCAAAAAAAAAAAAACGCTTTAATTACACTGAGGATTTACAACTTGAAAACATTTAGCTCTTTGTTAGTTGTTTTGAGTAAATTCACCCAAGGAATAAGTGGAGTATTTGTAGTAACCGTTGAACAATTGTAAGTTCAAAAGACTTACTTCGGCTAAGGTCTTGGATAGGAAGTAAATGTCCGTACGGTACATTCTGTTGTTGTGTTCTCGTAAAAATATATTCCTTTCTATTGGAAAAGTCTACAAATAGATAAATACATAAGGGTTAATAAATAAAAGAATGGATCAGTGAAATAAATGAAACAACGAATAAATAAATGAATGAAGGAACGAAGGAACGAACGAATGAACGAACGAAAGAAGGAACGAATGTACGAACGAAGGAACGAAAGAAGGAACGAACGAAGGAACGAACGAATGAACGAACGAATGAACGAACGAATGAACGAACGAATTAAACGAATGAATAAACGAACGAAGGAACGAACGAATGAACAAACGAAGGAACAAACGAAGGAACGAACGAATGAACGAACAAAGGAACGAACGAATGAACGAACGAAGGAACGAACGAATGAACAAACGAAGGAACGAACGAATGAATGAAGTAGTGTTACAGTAACGAATGAGTGAATAGGTTCTTAATTTAATTGATGGAACTATCAATCGAAAAACGAACTGCCGGATCGGTCTAACAACTAGCTGATTGATGGATTGATTAATAAATCTATCGATCACTTGATAAGCTGAACAGAAGCAACTACCAACGATAATGAATAACTATTTAAAGGTATCTAACTTTTATCAAACCAACCTAAGAAAATGATAGTCAAAACTTACGAAAGTGACTGCCGAAATGTTTGAGAAGGAGACAGAAGTCACAAGGAAGAAAAAGGCCCCATAAATATTCTCAATACCGTCCTGGTCAATCGTTGTTTGGAAGAAAATAATCCCAGTAACAAGACCTATGAACTTAAAAGACAGCGAAAATCATATTTTGACCCGTAATAACGAGACGGAATCACGACAGAAGCCAACAGAATTAGTTTAAAAACTGATGATGTATGTCAGAGATGTAGTACTGCGTAAGTAATGCAAACGATAATCGACGATTATCGTGAAAATCGTGAG